ACTGCAATTGTTGTGGTTCTTTGAGAAAGATACACAATTAAGGAGATAAATCCACAGTGATTCTTAAATGAAAACCACACATTTGGAGCCATTTGACCCCACACTCTTGGGTATGGCCACATAATCTCTGTGGTATATACTATAAATGTGACAACAAGCTCAAGGAGCTCAATAGGTTTTTCTATGTTAGAATATAATAGATCTATTTGGGACACTGACAATAATTCGTAAGAAAGAGAGACATAATTTAGAGGGATTAGGATTTGTATATTACATTATACTAATAATGTTATATTTTAGCATGTTGACTAAAACTATCAAATTATATAGCATTATAATCTATTTTGAGTTAAAATGTTTAGAGACAAATAACAGACATGACTGACTCTGAACCCTTGAGGCTCTGACATTTATTGAGCTGCTTCCAAGTTACACAACTAATTTTTTTAAAAGTATATTCCTTACCCAGGAAAGCATCAATGCTACTCAATGAAGTAGAACACTTACTTTTACGAAGAGTGGCCCCACACAGTGCAATTTGTGGGTGGAGCCAACTGTGGCTCAAGCATACATGAGCTCATTTTCCTCTTCCATGCAACTGTGGCTCAAGCACACATGAGCTCATTTCCCTATTCCATGCCTTTCTTTATGCATTCACATTTCTCTGCCCAGAACAGTCCTCTCAACTTTCCACATTTCCACCTATTAAAATCCTAGCCCTGAAAGGCTCACCTCAAACGCCTTCTTTTTCAGGATAACTTATTTACAACTTAAAGCCATGACAACACATTTCTCTCTTATAGAGCAGTAAACATATTTTTTTGGTATTGTAATTACTTTAATTATTTTTGTCATTATTCTACTACCCAGTTTTAAAACTCCTTGAAAGTAAAAGCTCTCTTGTCTTTGCATCCGCCATAGTGAGAGCTAACATACACCCTGCACAGTTGTGCTTAATACATGTAAGCCAAATTACTCAAATAAACTCTAGGATTCCTTTATATATTCATATTTGGTTTATCTAAAAGAGAATAATAAAATTTTTGCATTTATTTTTTACACCTAGCTTTCCCCCATCTATATTTATTCTATTTAAGTTTTGTCTTTTACTTTCTCCTATTGTGTCCATGAAAAAATATTTAAGGAGAAGGTTACCATCCAAGCCAATGAGCTTGTTTATACTAATATCCCCAAAAGAGAAGTAGTCTTGGTCTAACATGATTGCTGGGGAGAAAATGGGTCAGATGCTTCTCTTCTGGAGAAGGATGAGAGGCATAAACTGAGAAAGATACTTGTGAATGGCTACCTCCTTAGATTAACTACTCAATGATTTTTCAAAATATAACTCACACGCTGTAAGTTAAAAGATGATTTACATGAAAAATGTGACTTCCGGGTTATTTCCACTTGTAGTTCATCAGTTTGCAAAATCCTCTCCATTACTATGGTGATGATGCATCATTAGCTAGAATTTGTCCATTAATAGAAGCTGATTAATGTCACAATCACTTTTATAATGTTGATCATCAAATTTTATTATTTAGGATTTCAAATATAATTCAAAATAAATTTTACAGATTGTTATTTAAGAAATTGCTAAATATTGTTTTTTCTAATATGTTCTTTCAAAAGTTATATATTTTTAGATAAAATACTTTCTATTTACCTAAATCCTTACAATCCATACAAAATGATTGATAATTTGAGTCTGACTTAACTCCCTAATCTCATTTCTTATAACTTTCTGCCTTGTTCCTTTTACTCTACGTTTTACTCTATAAACCAGACTTATAATGTTTCACCTTAATGATTTTGCTCATGTCTTGCCACCTTCCCCCTGGATGCTTCTCACTCAACCTACAAAACTCAGTTCAGATCTCGTTTCCAATAGTTATTCTGCTTTGGAACCTCTGCCAATATGAACTACCTTTACCCTTGCCTCTCTTGTCTTCCATCTTAGCACTTATTATCACTTAGTATGTTTTATTGAAATTCTCTCTGTATTTTTCTTATATTCCCAAAAAAACATAGACTTTGCAAGAGGAGATCCATAACTTGGCTTTATATTCCCATTTCCTAAGAGAATGCCCTTATCATAGGTCTTCCTCCGCGTTTCAATTAAACTGTCCAAAAGCCCTTAAATAGATTTACAATATCACCTGTCATATTCATCTTTAGAAAGACATCAAAACTGATGTGGTTACAACTTAATATAAATAAGAGAATTTCACTACAAGAATATGTATTTAAATTTACAAAAATGTCTAATTTATATGAATGGGAAATATAATTCGTTTCCTTTTATTGATGATGCAATTTTCAGGTGCTAGCTTCTTTAAGTAACAAAATAGTGCTTTTTTATAACTTTAATTCTGAGGTAATCGTATATTAACATAAGTTGTGAGAAATACAAAGAGACCCTGTATGCCTTTCACTTACTTTCTGCTAAAGGCTGTCTTCGACTGGCATTTAATTTTGCATGAAAGTATACACATATAGAACTATATGTTATTAATCTAACAACTGTCAAATAAAATTTTGGTGATCTTTTCCAAAAACACTTGTATAGGCAAACTTTATCATCCTCACTAAAGAACAGAGAAAACTGGAGAAAATAGAGAAGTTTTCTAGACTTGAGTTTTTCAGAAAGTCACGCTCACATCCACAGATATTTATAATAAAGGCAGTCATTGTCTGTTACTCATAAGATTATCAAATTATGATTTACTGATACATGATGTACCCAAAATTATTTTCAGAATTTGCAAGGACTTATATCACCTATGTCTTCCCTTCTATTTTGAAGCATAATGAACATTTTCAAGTGAGCCTTAACTACTTGCAGATTGCAAACTGGGACATATGGCTAATTGATTGACAGATTTTCTGAATATTGAGTTTCTATTTTGTGCCAAGCTGAAAAAAACTCAGGGATTTCCAAGCTAAATATGCTTTACCATGTTCAATACACTCTCAGAAACAATCAGCCAAGGGTTTGGTAACATTTATATCATATTTTTCCTTTTCCCAACTTAGTTTGTTACTGCAGCTTAATCTCACTACTTCTTTTTCACCTTGAAAAAGTTTTCCAATAGAATTCCCTTGTGAGAATAGGAAGGAGTGGGGAGAGATGATGCAAAGGCAAACTAGAGATTGAGAGCAAGGTATTCTGAAAGTCAAAGCCTTAAATGTTGAATCCATCATTGCTGATTTATGTCACTTTATCACCTTGTGTGTGAGTTAACCTCAGTATTCTCTATTTTTTCATTTGTAATTGAAAATAGTAATATCTCCTTCAAGGACTGTTGTAAGAATTAAAGAAATAAACTATAAAAAAAGTACTTTTTACAATGTGCAAATAAATGTGTTTGTACAGGTTCGTACCTTGAGGACAAATACCAGCATCAAGAAAACATGTTAAAATTACAGATACTGTCTCCTTCACCCTTCACAATCTTTCTTTGTTTTGAACTTTCACACTGAAATCTATTTTACTCGATTAATGAGAGTATATGCTATGTTAGGTCAGAGGCTTCCTCCAGGATACATAGACAGAATGGTTCGTGGCATGTAGTCTGGCACAAGTCTCTCTGGTTATGTCAACTTTGCAATGAGGAAACCCAAGCATTTCTATTGACTTCCACATGGCTCATCAACCTGTGAAGGAAAGGGAGGAGTTCATGTCTTAAGAACAAGCCACTCCTTCCCAATGGGAAGAGTATAAATACACAATTTATCAACCACATTTAGGATGGTGTTTCTTATGATTAGGTAATAAATGCTAAATGGTAACATATGATCCACTTCCAGATTTTTATGGGCTGAGCCAATGGGAATTTGTCCTGTTCAGGATTACACAGCTTGGTGAAGAAGTTCGAAAATCTAGAACCTTTGGAGGAAAACTTTCCTTTGATAATTAAAGAGTCACTACCTTCTAGGCAAGTTCTAATTATTTAATATGTATATCTGACTTAATCCTCACAAGACTATGAGGGAGGTACTAGTCTGTTGCCCATTTTACAAATGAAATTGAGACATAAGCCGTTCAGCAACTTCTGCTGTGGTCATTCACCAGTAAATGCAAAGCCAGGAGTCAAACCCAAACATTCTGAATCCAGAGGCCTTTGATAATCGCAGCGCTGCTTCTCTACACTGAGAAAACTTTCTCAATCATTATAAGAAGTAGTTAGTACCTGAGATCTTCTTAACCTAAAATGAGTGGGATTTTGAATAGACTATCAAATGCCTTTCCTGTACTTACCTACAAACTTTTTAGAGAAAATTATCTCTAGATGCACCAACTGAAACTTGTGTATTAGGGGAAAAGATCTGTCAATCAGTTACTAATTCCCTCAGTTTCCCATTCTTTCTAGAAGAAAAAAAAAACTTTAAAAAATGCTGATAGATTTTCTCTCAACCCAGAATAATGATTCTGCTGTTTTAAAGACAATGTGGATGTAGGGTTAGTCTCCCTGTATCTCGAAATGTCAGTTCATTTGCCAAAAATGAATTTATCAGTTAAATGTAGCCAAAAGATTTAGTTTATCTAAGTGTCCTACAAAGAAGAAATAGTTTACCACTGTTTTTACAGATTGAAGTAAATCTGACATATTATTGACATATGCTATAGATTTAATTTAATACCATAGTACAGATGTGAGCTCTGATAAGTTTTTGTGAAATCTAGGCTAAGATGAGTAGAGTTGTTTCAATATTTATGGGGTTGAAAATGCAGAGTTAGCAAAGGAAGCATTTTAATTAAAACAATATTTTCCCCTATATGGTCAGAGTAAAATGCAGGGGAATTCTTTTAAAGACTTACTAGTTATTTCTAGCTTTCTGGCTTTTTAGGCACATTGAAAGAAGTTGGGGCTTTTTTTTCCAGTTTTTAAATCTTTTTTATCTCAGAATGATCAAAAAATAAACTCAGTAATTTCTTAGGACTTTTTAAAATGCATTTATGTGACTCAAATGTAGACTGTTGTAATTGTCCGTTTTAGGTATCCTGGAGATAACTTCAGTGGAAATCGGAGTTGTTGCCGTCAAAGCCATTAACAGCAACTACTACTTAGCCATGAACAAGAAGGGTAAACTCTACGGCTCTGTAAGTATTCTGCTTTCATTTTCAAAGTTCACTGAAGTAAATCACTACCACAGTTTTGGAATGTTTCCCCCGGCCATTGAATAGCTTTGTTATTGTTCCATTGCTAGTAAATAGAGCCACAGTGGGCTGGTTACCAGAGTTTCAAAGGCTGGCAAGGCAGCCTTTCCAATTTTATAATCTCCTCTGTTGCTCACCCATTAGTCTACCACACAGGCTGTTGCTGGCATTTGTCAGTCAATGTTCTGAACTGCTAACCAGTCAGACTCTCACGGAAGCATCTGGTCAAATTGGCATGGGTTCTGCAGACAACTTGGAGAAGGATCATTGAAAACAAAGATCACGAATTAAGTAGAAAATCATATACTGTGTGTTACAGCTAGAGATAAAACAGGGACTTGGGTGTTTTGTATTCTGTTAAAATCTGAAATGGGAGACATATCAAGAAATTTGTCATTTTGTGTACCATTCAATCAACTCCAGAATTTTATTTATCTAGACAAAAATGATTAATTCAGCCAGTGCTTTGAGTAGATACATCCCTATATTTCATAGCAAGTATTAAGAAATGTCACTTTAAAATGTGTAAATAAACTTATTTTGTTGATTAACATAGAGATGATTACAATGCCAGCCATTATCAACTTGAGTATGTCTCAGAATCACTGAATTTATTAAAACATACTCCAAACTTTTCTGATTCAGTAAGTCTGTGGTAGGGTCTAAGAATCTGCACTTTTAACAAAGTTCCAGGTGTTCCCAATGCTACTGGTTTGATAACTACAATCTGAGAATCATTAGAACTTTATTCTATCATTTGTCTGGATACAGAATAGACTTGTATTTTATTCATATCAGGTCCACTTACAATTGCAGAGTCAGACATACTTTGGATTGGTCCCTTTGGCTGGGGTAAATACGTTTTGGGTGGTGGTGGTGGGTGAGAGGAATTTTAGTTAAGTTTTTCTATTACATGTTGCTCTACTAATGAGCCAAGAAGAGTAATAGACTATTTTTTAAAGTAGTTCCATTTAGGGGTTCATGGCATAATTACTTTTGAGGCATTTTTTTCTTTTCCTTTTTAATGAACATGCCTAGGTCCCTCCTTTATCTACTACATCAGAATTACTGGGTAGAAGACGTGGTGTATATTCTTTGAAGAGGTACTGATACACACACATAGTCAAAACCAATACTTTAAAGTAAAGCCATCTAATATGAATTTAGATTGAGAAAGAAAATATAAAAATTTTAATTGCAATAAAAGGTTAAAATACTGAAATAATTTTTAATTGGTAAAGTGTACTTCTTTAAAAAGATGACATCAAGAAGAAATGGATACCTCAAATTAACTGTCATAAAAATATTTAATACTTTTCCTCTCATTTCCTCACATTTTTTTCTATCCCAATATAGCTATTGTACTCTGCCTCTACTTCTTGAGGTCTAAGGTCTATGAATTATTTCATTCTACCTCTATATGTAAAGTAGATGCCCAGTTGCTTTCTATCACATTTTAATGATCTACAATGGCACTTATCAGATATTTCTCTCATTAATATGTTTGTTATTGACTGTCTTCTCCCAGTGGATTGTGAACTTCAAGAGGAGAGGGTTTGCCTAGTCTTTCACTATTTCCTCAGCACTAGAACCATAAAGTCTACAAAGTCGTGCAAGGCATAAACCTAACTACCTCTCCAGTTGGCTCAGCTCATCACAGCCTATGCTCTCCACTTCCAGCCTGTCTCAGAAAGAAACTCATTCTCTAACTATAGTGCGCTGTTTTGTGATTTTGCAATATTATAAGGAAAAGTGAAAAATTATAACTTGTTCAAATTAAATGAAAAATCTACTCGAATTGAATGTCCTGCTCAGGATGGAAAAGGACTAGGGACTTTGCACCCAAAGGTTAGACCATCAAAATTCATGAGTACACATCTAACATTATTCTGTATAGCAGGTGACAACTCATAATTCCTATCTTCATTTTTTTTAAGTAATTTCCATGGATTTCATAAAGCTTCTTGAAAATATCATTAGGCACCCAGAATGCTGATTAAACCAGCTCCATATTGTATTCTCTCAAGTATTTTCCTCATTTCCTTTTGGGAAATGTGCATCTCTCTTATATTTTCATTAATTATTCTCTGAACAATGCATCTACGTATGTGAGGTGTTTTTTTTTTTTGATTGATAGAATTAAGAAAATAAATTGTAAAACTGAATTTAAATAGAACAGGCCCTCATAGGGCATGATGTAAGGACCAAGTAAATTTACCTGGTTTCCTGAAGAAATCCAAAACCTTTTTCTAAACTGCCAAAATCTCTACTTTTGAGATCTTGCCCTAGCCTATATATTTTTTTAAACTTTAATATTTATGATTCACTTAAATGATATAAACAACATAGCTTCCAAGGCTCCTCATGCAGAGACTCTGATACATTTGGTTACAGTCTATTAAAAATACCTGAGATGAGGAGTCTGCTCTAAATGTACCTAACTTTAAGAAACATTGCCTTATAAATTTATTTTGGGGAGGAAAAATGATTAAGCATCCATGCTACTCTTCTATACACAGCTCTGTTTTAAATATAAAATCATCTGAAACAATCTCAACCCTTCCGCAGTCTCTAAGCTGCACCCTGTTTATTGAAATGAGTGCAATCATTTGTAGTAAAAATCATCTCTTTGAAAACCATATAGTTTTAGACACACTAAGATGAATAGGAAAAAAAGACATACTATTTAAATTTTTTTCTAAAGCAGAATTTTTTTTTATGTTAGAAACCGTACCTTAATGTGTGTACCATTTCTTCTGACTTTTAACCAAATAAGTCATTATTTGAATTACGTTCAAATATTACTTCATAGAAGAGAAGCACATAGAATAAATTAATTCCAAGGAAAAAGCTTAAACTAGCCACATAAACATAAAACATACCTGTTTATGATGGTGCTAATAATGTTCAAAATTACCATCTAGCCCAGAGAAACTTGAATGTTTAAATATATGCACATTCGAGAATTGGGAATTAAGGAGAAATTTTGAAAGTCCTGAGATGAGAGAAACTGTTTGAAATGCCCAGTAGAGGCCTCAAGTGAAAGATGCCTATAATGCCCTTGGTTTGGATGGAGAGAGTAGAGCCAGAAGAGCAAAAGCCCCAATTCTTTAGATTCTTAACTGCTTTAGTTTGGATTTAAGGGAAGAGGGACATTTCTGAAGCCAGAGTCTAGAGATTGGTAGATACCTCTCTTCGTTATTAACTCCAGAGTAGGATCCTGGATTTATGGAATGAATGAAACATCAATCCTTGTTCCAAAAGATCCCCTTAAAAACACATGGTCACTTGAAACAAAGCCAAAGCACTATGGCTATAGAGTGGAATTTCCCAAGATCAAAGCACTTAGGCAGTGTTAGTTACCATAGTTATAATTTCTTTGATATGGTAATTTGCAAAGCGAGTGGCATTCCCTGTCCTAGTTTTCAGTCATTCCTAGATCTCAGAGTAAAATCTATCAAAATTCCAAGTTAGAAAAATTGTAATTTATAAAATTGAGAAATCCGGTATTTGGAAGAGATGAAGATACCCCCTCACCTTGGCCTCATGGTTATCTAGAAGTGTTATCGTTTGCTATAAGATCTGCTTTCTCATCAATGTGAGTGTATTTACGTGGATTTATGAAGTTTGCAATCTTGACAAGCTCTCTGTTTTCCTGTAATTCTATTTTCCCATGAGACATCCTAGTCATTACTCTGACAAAAAGATTATAACAATTCTTTATTATTGACTCATCACAAATATTGTTAGTGGAATGTTTGCTTCTTGATAATCATTCTAAGCACTTAAACCATCTCATATTCAAGACACACCAGGTTTTTAAAAGGGCCCCAATATGTGGTTATGATGGCCAACTAAAATGAATCACATGCCTTTAAACTTAGAATCTGTTTTGTGATTATGAGTTTTACTTTTCTGTTGACATTGTATATTAAGGGCACAACTTATGTGCAACTGTCAATAGCAAAGAAACCCTTGAACTGGAGTTGTATAGATGGCTTGTATCAAATGGAATCAAGTATCATTATCGTAAAAAAGTTTGTTTTTCCTTTGCAGAAAGAATTTAACAATGACTGTAAGCTGAAGGAGAGGATAGAGGAAAATGGATACAATACCTATGCATCCTTTAACTGGCAGCACAATGGGAGACAAATGTATGTGGCATTGAATGGAAAAGGAGCTCCCAGAAGAGGACAGAAAACACGAAGGAAAAACACCTCAGCTCATTTTCTCCCAATGGTTGTACACTCATAGAGGAAGGCAGTGTTTGTGGGTGCAGTAAAACCAAAGGCTCTGTTGCCAGGAATGGTGGGTATTCTTCATGAAGACAGTAGCTCAAAAGGCAAAGACACATTGCAGATGTTGGCTTGCTTGAAAGAAAGGAAGTTTTTGAAGGTTTTCGTACTCACTGCTGAGATATGATGTTCTTTTAATTAGTTCTGTGTTATGCCTTGTAATCGAGATATAGGCAGATCAAATGGGATGGAAGTTATTCCTAAGCAAACAACATTGTGGCTGGGATTTTGGTTAAGGTTTGAAGTTTTTGTTTTTTATCCTCTGAAATAGAACTTAAAGAACACAGAACAATCTGTTGAATGATATTCGGAAAAGTTATTTATGGAATACAAACTCATATCAAAGACTTTTATTGCTCATTCAAGCCTAATGATTCGATGAGCAGTAAGACATGGAAGCATTTACTGGAAAGCACTTGGGTCATGTTATGTGCACAACCAAAGGAGCTTTGGGCGTGGCATCATGGAAGCATTGGATAGAATTTAAAAATGTAAACATGTTAGTGTAAAACTGTTCTAACAAAACAAATAGTATGGTACGCTTGTGCATTCTGCCTTCATCCCTTTCTATTTCTTTCTAAGTTATTTATTTAATAGGATGTTAAATATCTTTTGGGGTTTTAAAGAGTATCCTCAGTATCCTCTGATTTACCTTTTCTTTTTCTTCAGCACACTACATGCATGTTCATGACAAAGTGTTTTTAAACCTTGGCAAACACTTCAAAAATAGATGAGATTAGGAAAGCAGTGTGAGTGCCCCATGGGCAATCAGTTGACTTAATTTGCACTTCTGCATAAGAATCATCAACAATAAATACAATAGTGCTGTCTCATGGCTCGAGTTAGAGATGTCTGCCATCATTTAAAAACATGTATCACTGCTAAGGCTTCCTTTCCTAAAAATAGACCAGAGGCTAAATTTTTTTCTTCATCAATACATCATTGAGTCTTCAAGAATATACTAAAAGAGGGAAAATTAATTGTTAAATGCATTTTAGTATCTTTGCCTCATTATTTACTAACGATATTTTGCCATATGTCACAGTGGTAAATAATGAAGAGGCTGTCTGCATGTATACGAATCCTTTATAAGTACCACATAGTGCATCTCCCCCAAAGGAACTATCAAGGAATTTGGAATGAAGTGTAACTCTCCCAGGGGCTTAATCTGAGCAAATATATCCTTTGTAACGATATACTGAAATCTGTTCAAGCTGTATAATCTAGTCATTACAAAACCAAATAAAACTTCTTTTCTGTAAATTTAAAAAGCTTTGGAAGGTTCCACAATGTAACCACATAGAAATTCCTTTTGTTAGAACAGGTAATAGGTAACAGTACATAAGAGTGTGCCAGTCAGTCACCATCCCATTGCATTCTACTAAATAAATACATAAGCCTAATTTGCAGTGTCTGTAGTAGATTTTAAAAGTGTAGAAAATATTATTTGTTCTAAATATTTCCAGTGATAATTATAAGAATATGTCAATGCTGCAGTTTTATTTTCATATTTCTTGTTTTAAAAAGGTCTGGTTATTTTATTGTATGAACACAGTATTTTGGTACAGGGAAAAGACTCACTAAATGTGTCTTTTTACTAAAGTTTAACCTCTAGAAAGGCTGGTGTTTTGTAATCTTCTCTTATGACTTAATTGTGTCAATGCTTAACCAGTACTTTTGGTTTATCTGTTATTTAAGAATTAGCTTTATTACAAAATTTTCCCATAAAGTAATCCCATAAAAGGTCATATTTTTATCACTCCTTTAAAAAGTTGAGGTTTCAAAAGAAATGCATTTGAGGCAGTGTTTTGGCTTATGGTTGAAGTTGCATTTCCTAGTACTTGGCTTCCAACTTGCTTTTTGACAAATGAGATACTAAAAATGTTTAATTTTTGTGGTTGGAATCTGTATGTTAAAATTTAATTGGTAAGTGAGTCTGAGAGCTATAGTGCAATGCATTCTTATCAGAACTAGATTATCTTTGTCCCTTTATTTTAAAACAATAATTGCACCTGACACATAAACATGGACCACCCACAACCAAAATTAAATGTTTGATGAGACGAATATAGTATTTGATGACCATGGTAACAACAAATAGGGCACAAACTGGATTCATATTTCACTTAGCCATTTAGATTACCAATGAGACTAAGTGTAAACAGTCATCATTACAGTACTCAAAACACTAAAACAGCTTCTAGCAAAATGTATCAAAGCTTGTAGAAGCCAAAAATAGAAAACATTTCCCTCACCCCGCTACACACACAAGTACACACATCGACAGAGATACAGAAACAATTTGATAAGGAGCAATGGGATTCTCTTGCATTTAAAAATGGCATCTTTGCTTGATATTGAGAAAGAATTCTGGTCCCCTTGGCAGCTGGATTATGCTACTGAAAGAAAAGCAGCTCCAGCCCTGAATATTGTATATTTTTTTAAAAATCATCACGATTTGGGGAGCTCTGCCTCTGTGGGAATTGCGGCCCCCCGCCACAATGTCAAGGTACATCAGCCACAAATGTGTGTGCATCTGTGCTGGTTCTGAGGAGACTCCTCACAAAGACATAGAATCCCTCCTTCCTCCTACCTCCCAAAAGGCTGGACAGTGTATAGCATGTTACATTTAAATAAATTAATAAAAACGTTGGGAAAAGAAAATAAAAATATTGTCCTTGTTTGTTTTATTAGCTTAAAACTATACCTGGTAATAAAGAGAGAAGCTCAAATGTGTGCATAGCAGGATGTGGTTAAATGCCCCAGAGCCCCAAACAACAACAACAGAAAAAAAAATCACTCAAACATTCGTAAGGTTTATTTAATGTTTTACATGTGTGAGTCAGCTATCCTTACTCTAATAACAACCAAATGCTTTCGATTTTTCCTAAGTATTCAGGTCCACCTAGTTTATACAGTGGATAAAGAAGGATGAATTGAAAACAAGGATGGCTTGTGAAACAATGAGACTTTGGGAAGAAAGCCAGGAGGCTGCAAAATCTGATTTCAAGGGGATAGAGTAGGCCAATGAATTTGATTTGAAAAGGAGAGAGAGGGAAAAAAAAAAAAGAAGTTGGGTCCAGGGCCCAAGAAACGTTATGGACACTATTTACATAGATAAACATTCATGCTACATGTATCTAATAATTTTGATGTTGTTAATTCAGGGTTTATGATTGTTCACAAAAGTAAAATTTACCTTTTCCTTATCAGTGAAGTCCAAACTTTGTTTAAATAAAGATATCTGTAGGAAGCCATGAACTATTTTAAGAGAACATAGCTAGTGCATTTGAAATAGCACATTTAGATGCAAACAAATACTTTATTAAGAATTCTTATCTATTTTGCTAGACAAGACTTTCGTAACTTTAAAAAAAAAAAAAAGAGGATATTTTGGAAGGATATTGCAAAGAGAAGGGCAACTTTGAGTTCCAATAGAACTGAAACATGAAAGATCTGCTTCCTCTCAGGCACTCATTTCCTCTTATCTCTGATTGGCTTTATCTGCTTGGCTACTGCTTATGTCCAATTTACTTCTTTCCAACTCCAAAACCCAAAACCTTTTTCTCAAGATCCTGAAATGGAAGCATCCTAGGTATGATTTCTATTGGCCAAGTTTGAATAATGTATCAACCTTCAGAGCAATCAGTATGACAAAGGATCTGAGCGTTGTGACTGACCAAACTTCAGCCACGTGACCAGAGTAACAAGGTATGGATTTGGGCAGCCTGTATATGTGAAACTAATGAAAAAAAAAAGATGTACCAAACAAAGGACAGTGCTGGGCAGTGCAAAAAGAAAATGGTTCTTAGCTACATCTCTTTAAATGAGACTACTGACTTAAACATGTATCTTCTACTTTTGCATTTTTTACTAATTCTAATTAGCCTTCAACTATTTATTCAAATCAGAGAGGTCTCAAGATCTTTCTCTTTAATACAGTTTTTAAGTGGGAAATATTGTATTTGTTTTGTTTTGTTTTAAAACCAAGGGTAGGACCCTGAATATAGCCAGGCTCACTGTAATTCTGTAAACTTTATAGAATGATAATTGAGATGAATGCAAGTTTTCACTGAATAAAAAGATGGTCCTTCTACTCAATATCAATCTATATCACAACATGAGATTACAAGTATTTAAGTTTATCCCAAGAATATGTACTAGTATTTTCAAGTATATCAACATGTAGAATAAAATCTGAAATTCAAATGCCATGTTTTTAAAAAATTGTAAAATAAAAAAGAAATAAAAAGAAAAAATCTGCTTTATATCTTTTATTATGTCTTGTGTACATTCAATATCAAACAAAAGAAAACTTTATAACGTGCATTTCTCTTTTCTTTTCCTGATTAGAAAATAATAAAACCCAAAATGTCCTTATAAGTGAACAATCTACTAAAAACACATTTATAAAAATCATATATTAGTTAAAATAAAATAATCATGATAAAACTAATGAGATCAAAGGAACTGATCTCATTCCTAAGTGGCTAATAATGAACATTTCCATGTGGCTGCTCCATGATAGCAGCTAAGGACAATTCCACACTCAAAGAGAAAAGCCACATGCCAACCATATATTCATGTGGCATGTATTATCTTACATATTTTTATTATCCTCCACAAGAGATGTTCATTTTTTAACATAGGCAATTGCATCTTCTAGAGATGAGTGCAGCAAATGAAGAATCAAAACATCTCATGTTCCTCATTACAACTGAAAATTGAACATATGCCCTCGTACAATTTAGGCAGTGACCTCAGCTGCAGAATAACCAAGTACAGTAAGGCCATGCCCCTCCTAAAGTTTGGTTTTAATTACCTTATATACATCTTAAGTGCCTAAATAATCTTACAGTTTTCTAAATTATTTAGTTATCATTTCTGTGATCAATTTAAGCTGCTGACAATGCAAATATTCTCAGGTCTCTCAAGAGGACTAAATTAAAATTGGTGTTTCATGAGGTATTATAAATTAAAAA